TTCAATCCCCAGTGACGAATAAATCAGTTTTAGTGATGCACATTTGTAATCCCAGCACTCCAGAAGTGGAGGTAGGGAGGTCAGGGGGTTCAAGGTCATCCTGGCTACATAGGGAGTTTGATTGGTTCTTTAAGACCCTGCCTAAAAAAAAAAGAAAGAAAGAAAGAAAAGAGGAACATGGATTTGTGAGTGAATTTCTGTGCTATGTTTACCACTTTTCCTCTAGAACGTTGTTTTGTTTTGAATTTTCAAGTTTCTCCACTGCCTTACAGATGCAAGGAGAATGAAGCAAACATAAATATATCTCACTTACTTGAGAGCTGGCAAAACGTGAATGAAAATATGACATTCAAGGTCTTCTTTATTAACCAGTAGCTGAAAGCCTTTGAAACCATGTCACCTGTGATGGGCATTCTGTGAGAGGGTAACCTAAGAATAGCCGTCGTCTCCCCAGCAGGCCATTTGTCAACAGCACAGTGTAATTATAATGAGCTTTATTAACATCATAAAAATGGGATGCCAGGTGGTGTCCATTTCCACTTATTTAATTGAAGAAACGAAAGATTGTGTAATTCGGAGCAAACTCAGCCATCTGTCAAGCCACAATAAAATGTTGTCATAGCTGTGATCTTGACTCCTAAGACGACCATTGAAGAGGAAAAGAATTTTATGACGTGAGTGACTGAACCGACTAATTTTCTTCTTAGCTCTGATGCCAACAGAGAGAATGGACGGCTTCTCCATTATGTTCTTCAGCACTGCCTGCTCCGGAGTTGGGTGATTGCGAGCAAATCACCCTGAACACCGTGTAAAATCATAGGCTAGGATACTGAAAAAGGTGAAGAGTCATGAAATGCTACTCTACAGCCTTTTGAAGTCAGTGTCAACCGATGTAAATGGAGATTTTCTATAAAACAATAAGCAAAGTCATACTACAGACCATTTTTTGACCCCGTGACTCAGGATTCAAGCATCAAAATAACATTCTATTTTCAAAATTGTGTGTGTGCCACATATATACATGAATGTGATGCCTGTGAAGTCCAGAAGAGGGTGTCAGCTCTACTGGGTCTGGAGTTCCAATTTCACAAGGCACCTGCCAAGGGTTCTAGGAACCGAACTTGGGTTCACAGGAGCAGCAAGTGCTCTCAAACCCTGAGCCGTCTCTTCAGTCCCCTAAATCTTGAATTTGAAGCATGAATTGAGAAGCACATTTCCATACTATATATATACAAAACAGAATACTGGTGAGGTACTTTTCATAGTGAATTTTATTTCTACAAAAATGAATATATTCCAATAGCTTACTCAAAGGATGTAAGAAAAATTATTTGCAAATGCATGATTGGTTTTCTGTCCCTTAAATTTTAATTTAGCTCTTTTACCAGGACCTGCCAAAATAGACCATCTCTCCAGCCCCGAGTCTCCACTTCCTTTAATCTTCCATCTGGTACACACTCCAGCACTTCCCAAGACCGTGCGCAGCTTTGGTGGAATCACAGCCAGCTGGGAGGAGGTGTGAGAGGGTGGCTGAACTCAGAGTGAGGGGCTCCAGAGTGTACATTATCACTGCTGTTCAGATTAGCATGCCTAGAGGTCAGCATCCCACAATACAATGTTAACGGATGTGCCCAGCAGACTCCAGCTAGGCACGAGGTACCACATTAATAATGGGGGGTCTGAGGTGAGCATGGATTCAGAAAGCTCCAGGCTGGGAAAGGGATGAAGACAGAAGCAAGCACACTGCCGTTATTCCCACAGGGTGTGCACTTTTGGACCAATTTTCATCCCACTGGGTTTGCCCAAATCTTTGTTTGACAGGTGAGGAAGATGAAGTTCAGTCCTGAGTGACATTGCTAATAGTGGCTAACCCAAGCTTTGAACAGACACAACTGACTTTCACTTTCCACCATACGTGATAGCTCCGGAGAAACCCCAGTTATTCTCTGGTTTCAGAAACTGTCGGGGGAGAGCAGTCAAGCCATGAGAGTCCTGATTAACGCGCACTGAATCAAGCATGTTGAGAAATGGTCTGTTGTCCTTTTCTCAGCAGTAAAGATGGATCTTCCCTCGCTTCCTTCAGCATCTGCCAAGAATGTGAAGGACAGATGGTTTCTCAGGATCCCGTGAAGTCCCCAGCATGTTTTCTTTAGTAAGTTCCTGGAGGTGGCTTTGTGCATGGCACACAAGTGCTCTACCACTGAGCTATACTCCAGACTCCAAATCTGCTCGTTTCTTCCCTGAAGTCACTTTGGACTCCCCGACCACCAAACTGAGTGGCAGCTGTCGTTCATCCTGATACAATGACTTCAGGAGAGCTCTTGTAAGTCACAAGCAATGTGATATACATTATAGTGGTACACTGTCATGCACTGTTTAGAAGCTTGTTGAAAGTGGCCTCGGGGTTCGAGGAGACCTCCCAGTTCTCAAACTCAAGCAGCCATGGCAGGTCTCCTTCCAAAACCTCTTGGGCTGGTAAAAACGTTCAGAGAGTAAAGGAGCTTGCTGCCAAGCCTCGTGACCTGAGTTCTATCCCCAGGACCCATATGGTAAAAGAAGAAATCCAACCCCTACAAGTTATCCTATGATGTCCACACACATGCCATAATACATTATACACATACAGACATGCACACACACACGTAAAAAATGTTTTAAGTGAGTTCACTTTTTCAAAACTTTTTTTATTTTTATGCGTATAGGTGTTTTGCCTGCATGTTTCTCTGTCCATCATGCACATACCTATAGAGGACAGAAGAAGGTATTGGATACCCTGGGACTAGCATTCTAGTGAGTGACCATGTGGATACCAGTTAAGTGCTCTTAACTGCTGAGCCATCTCTCCAGCCCCCAAATTCACTTTTATACACACGCCTACCACCCAAGTTCGCTTTTGCCCGCGCATACACGCATACACACATACACTTACGCACACAGGCACATACACTCCTTAGGAAAGTAAGCATATTTAACTTGGTCTATTTCATTTACTTTGCAGTGCTGCAGATCAAACCCAGGTCTCACCAATGCTAGACAACCTGTCTACCACAGAGCTACACCCTCACCTGCGCCAGCACACTTGACGTAAGGACCTTTTCTTCTCTTGCTGTCCCCACCTGAACACACTCTGAGAGACAGAGGCATCAGGCATTTAGGGGCAAAAACGGATCACTACAATCCATCTCAGTCCCAGAGCCCAGGCTACTGTCACTAAAATATTCCAAGTCTAGATGGTTACTCACTTTATTTTTTCTATTTATTTGTTTGTTTGTTTAAGACAGAGTTTCTCTGTGTAGCCCCGACTGTCCTGGAACTCACTCTGTAGACCAGGCTGGCCTCAGGCTCACAGAGATCCACCTGCCTCTGCCTCCCAAGTGCGGGACTAAAGGCGTGTGCCACCACTGCCTGGCTACTTTATTTTATTTAAAAGTATTTGTTTTTATTTCTATTTCTATGTGTAAGTGTGTGTCTGTGTGAGTGCACTCCATGTTTGTTGGATGTCAGGCTTTGGATCACCTGGAGCTGGAGTCACAGAGGATTGAGTCTCCTGTCATGGATGCTGGAAACGGAACTCAGGTCCTCTGCAACTTCAGTATGTGCTCTTAACCACTGGGCCATCTCTTCATCTTTCTGTAGCTCAACATACCATTGGGGTTTGGGTTTTTCCAGTTTATCTTCCTGGTTTGATAAGAATTCTTCCTTACTGGTAAAAGAGCTAAATTAAGCCCGGTGATGGTGGCTCAAGTCCTTTTTAGCTAGAGCGATTGTCACACGAATTGCTAAATGGTCTTATAATAAAAACCCAGAGCCAGATATTGGGGATTAAACCGGATTGAACTGGTCTTAACAGGATTGAATTGATCTGAAACGGATTGAACCGGTCGAACCAGTCTGAACCGGATTAAGCCGGTCTGAACTAGTCTGAACCGGATTAAGCCGGTCTGAAACAGTCTGAACTGGATTAAATGGATCTGAACTGGTCCGAACCGAATTAAACTGGTCTGAACCGGATTCAACCGGATTAAGCACACAGTGCTTTTATATACATTTCTATACACATGTATATATACACATATAGGGTGTTTTGGTGAAATGATATACTGCTTGTGAGATGAACATAAGAGAATTATCTATTTTAAACCAGGCAATAGTGACACATGCCTTTAATCCTAGCACTTGGGAGACAGAGGCAGGCGGGTCTCTGTGAGTTCGAGGTCAGCCTGATCTACAAAGCGAATTCCAGGACAGCCAGAGCTACATAGTGAGACCCTGTCTCCATGCTTCCCACCCCCCCAATAGTATTATCTATTTCATATAATACTGTGATATTTTCAAGTACTATTGACTATTTTACATGATATTATATGTGCACCTTCTAATGTACGTGGTATGTAGTATCACCAAGGAAATTCCCTTAATAATAGCATCTGGCCATCTCCTCTTCCACAACCCTATCGGTTTTTATATCCGTGTCTTCCTTCAGTTCACTCTCTGCTTTAAATTTCACTTCAGGTAATTTAGTGCCTGCACAGAGACATCTGCAATTCCATTATAAGACATTTAGGAAGATTGCTCAGTCGGAACAACCTGGGACTCCAGGCCAGATCCCAACCAGAGAACTGAGGCAGATGCCTCGCTTGCTTCCTTAGGGACTCCCCTATTGGCTTGCATTCCTGCGTGGGAACTGCTCCTGTCTCCGAGTGACCGCAAACTTGGCTTTTCTCGCTCAGCGCCTAAGGCCGACTTGCCCTCCGCCACCCAAGTCCGAAAGAAGCTCTCCAGTCCCAGGAAGTGACAGCGACACACGCCTAACTTCCAGGTGGTGGGCCTAGACCTGTAAACACAGGGGCGGAGTCAGCGCGCGGCGGGGGCGGGGCTAGTGTGACGGGGGCGGAGCCAGTGCGCAGCGGGGGCGGGGCCAGTGCGCAGCGGGGGCGGGGCCAGCTCGCGGCGGGGGCGGGGCCTCGCTCTAACGGACTCCACGGGGTCGCGCCGCCCGCTGTGTGGAAGTCGCAGCGCGTGAGCGGCGCCCGGCGGAAGCCGCGGGGCAGCCAGCCCTCGGGGAGTGTCCGGTGAGCCGCGGCTCCGACGGCCTGCTGTGGTGTCCGGCCGGCCGCGCAGGACCTCGCGGCAGTTCTGAGAGGACACCCGCGCGTGTCTCGAGCGCCTGGGCCCCGAAGGTTCACAGCGGAGCGCGCAGGCCCTGGCCTGTCAGGCGCCTGCCGGTCAGGACTCCCTCCTCCGTGCCTCCCTGTCCGTTCTCCTCCAGTCAGCTTCTACCCCGCCTGTTCCCTCCCAGCCAGTCCATTTCCTGTCAGGTGTCTCCCTGTCAGGGTCTGCGGATGACGGTGTCCCAGGTCACCCGGTCCCTTGAGGTCAGGTCCATACTGTGAGGTTCTGTCCAGTCAGGTGCCTCACATGTGGAGGTGCGTGCTCCCCAGGCCCTCACCCTGTCAGGTCCCAGGTCAACAATCTCAGAGACAGGCTCTTGTAGTCTGTCTGTCTGTCTTTCTTTCTTTCTTTCTTTCTTTCTTTCTTTCTTTCTTTCTTTCTTCCTTCCTTCCTTCCTTCCTTCCTTCCTTCCTTTCTTCCTTTCTTTCCTTCCTTTCCTTTGCACTCTCTCTCTCTCTATATATATATATATATAGTATATATATATACTATATATATATATATATATATATATATATATTTGGTATATATTTGAATGCTTGCTCCCCAGTTAGTGGAACTGACTGAGAAACATTAGGGATACGGCATAGTTGGAGGAGGTGTGTTTTGGGAATGGGCTCTCCCTTGCTGCCTGCAGATCAGGATGTCAACTCTCAGCTCCATGCTTGCCTCCTGCCATCTTTCCTGGAGTGATGATAATGGACTTGAAAGGATAAAAAAAGAAAGGCGGAGTGGGTACCTTTTGGCGGGTCCTGCCAAGATATGCCAGTAAGCAAATACACCACAGCAATAGAGGTAGAGCAAGAGGTTTGTTTATTGGAGAAGGGTGAAAAGCCGTGTCAGAGTGAGGACATGAGAGAGGTAGACAGACAGACAGACAGGCAGACAAGAGGAAGAAACAAGAGGAAGAAGAGAGGAGCAAGAGGCAAGAGAGGAAACAGCGTTTGTAGTTTTTGTTGTTGTCTGTTTTTGAGACAACATGTAGCCCAGGCTGGCCTTGAACTTGTGATTCTCCTGTCTCCACCTCCTGTGTTTTGGATTACAAGCCAACATCACTCCAAGCCATGGAGGAAATGAAGGAAGATGTTCGTTCTCTCTCTCTCTCTCTCTCTCTCTCTCTCTCTCTCTCTCTCTCTCTCTCTCTCTCTCTCTCTCTCTCTCTCTCACTCTCCTTCTCTTCCCTCCTTCCCTTTATCTTTCTCCCTTTCTCCTTCCTTTCCATCCTCTCTGAATTGTCTGCCTTCTTTCCTCCCTCCCTTCCTTCCTGCCTCCCTCCCTCCCTTCCTTCTTTCCTTCTTTTCCTTCCTTCCTTCCTTCCAAATCTTTCCCCCCTTCCTTCTTGAGACAGGGTCTCAAGGAACCCAGGCTGACTTCAAAATTCACTGTGTAGCTCAAGTTAGCCTTGAACTTTTGATTCTCCTACCTCCACTTCTCAAATGCTGAGATTGCAGGTATATGCCACCATAACTGCTAGGAGAGAGGTTTTAAGGGGGAAGAGAGCCTGTCAAGTTCTCAGGGGATAGGGACAGGATACATGCAAAAACCTAGGAACAGTCCTATGTATGCATGTCACATAGGATCCTGGAGAATACATCAGGATATTAGGATAGAGTATTATTATGAGTAAAACATACATGTATATGTATATTATATATGTATGTATTATGAGTAAAACAGACTACTTTCCCTGACCTAGAAATCCCATGTTCCACTTACTTTCCCTTACTCCTACCTGTATCACCCCCTGGTTATCACTGGCCTTTTTATTATATCCAGGATTTTGCCTTTTCCAAATGACATACAGTTGGAATAATCAAAATGCATGTTAAAATACTGAATGGGGCTGGAAAGAGGCTCAATGGATGGGTGCTTTACTGCAAAAGGATGCAGATACATTTGGATCCGAACACCTACATAAAAGTGGGGCATGGCTGCACTTCTGGAGGTTGGAAATAAGAGATCACCAGGGCTTAATAGTCATCGGCTACCCTGGCTTCAGTTTCAATGAGAGACTTTAAAGAAATAAAGCTGGCAAGTGGTGGTGGAGCATGGCTTTAATCTCAGCACTCCAGAGCCAGAGGCAGGAGGATCTCTGTGAGTTCTAGACCAGCCTGGTCTACATAGTGAGTTCCAGGACAGGCAGGGGTACACAGGGAAACCCTGTTTCAGACAAAACAAACAAACAAAAAGAAACAAGACAAAGAAAAATAGAGGTGAACTTCTTCCTCTGGCCTTCTTGTAGATACCTGTACACACATACCACACACAATAATAATAATAATAATATAGAATTTATTTATTATGTATGTGTGCAGACATGGGGGTGCACTACAGATGTGTGGAAGTCAGGGAACAAGTTTTGGGAGCTGATTCTCTCCTTCCATCATGTGATTTCTGGTGCTCAAACTCAGGTTGCCAGTCTTGGTACCAAGAGCCCTTACTCATTGAGTCATATTACTGGCCCCCTACATTTTTTTTAATTTTTTTAATTAAAAAATTATTTTTATTTTATGTGCATTAGTGTTTTGCCTGCATGCATGTCTGTGTGAGGGTGTCAGGTTCCCTAGAACTGGAGTTACAGACAGTTGTGAGCTGCCGTGTGGGTGCTGGGATTTGAACCCAGGCCCTCTTGAGGAGCAGTTAGTGCTCTTCACTGCTGAGCCATCTCTCCAGCACCCTCAAAATTATAATTTTTTAAAAAGCAGTGCTAGAAATTTTGAAACTGCCTTAGAAAGTTACTAACACTTTCTTCTGTCTCCACACTGGGGCGTTTTCAGGTGTGGTGGCCAGGAGGCCAACAATTTAAGAGTGTTTGGAAGAAAGGAAACTGTTTTCTTGCAGGAAAAACAAATCCTAGTCATAAAATATTGTTACAAAATTTGTGGTTTGTGTCCGGAGGTTGCAAAGATACTCTGTATAGGACTAGCCTCATGGAGAAAACTTCCTTATAGTGGCCTCACTCAGCATCAACCTTTAGAATAAATTGGAAACCATAGGAAAGTCACCTCCAAGTTCCCTGCAAGCTTCCTTTGCCTGGAATAGCAAGCTATAAACCTTACTTGTTTCTATAACTTAAATGCTGTAAACATAGTATTGGGTATCAACTAGAATTCTTATTTACCCAAAAAGTTAACTGTAACAATATTATCTTCAAATTACAAACTAATTTTTTTAGGACTTGATTTAATTTAGTCTACAAATTAGTAGTAACTATGTGTGAGATCCTGAAGTACCTAGTCACTTGTGGTTACAAGAGAGGAAGAGCCAAGGCACAGCTCTGATCTCATGTGGCAGCTTTATAATGAGACAGAGCAGAGGGGGGATAGTACTTGAGGCTAATGTAGAGGAGCCTGTCCTGGGGGGATTGGAAGGTTGTGACTGGGGAGGAGGAAAGAGGGAGCTGCTTCTACCAGACCCCACCCCTTCGCTGGTCTGGGGATGAGGGCTGCAAGGACACTGGAGGGTGGTAGGAGGAGAGGTTGAGGCAGCAAAGGCTGTCAGCTGTGCACACTAGAGGCTATGGCAAGGAGTTTGGACTTTATTCTCAATGCTCTGGAAAGGTTTAGAAAGCTTGGAAGTGACATGATCTACGTTTTGAAAGATTGTTCTGTCACGTGGAGAAGAGACAGATAGAGAGAATCAAGAATAGAAGCAGAATATTGGGCAGAATGGACTAGAGAGAAGGCTCAATGGTTAAGAGCACTGGCTTCCTCCCTTCCTGATTGCCTAGGTTTAATTCCCAGTACCCACATGGTGGCTCACAACTATCTATAACTCTAGTTCCAGGAGATCTGACACCCTCTTCTGGTCTTCTTTGGTACCAGGCACACAATGTTACACAGACATATATGTAGGCAAAACACCCATGCACGTTAAAAGAAAAAAAAGTTGGACATAGTGTCACACATCTGCGATTCCAGCATTCTAGAGGCTCAGCGAGTGGATAAGAAATTTGAGGTTGTTGGGGTTGGGTAGATGGGGCAGTGAGATGGCTCAGTGGATAAAGATGCTTGCTGTGAAGCCTGATGAACTGAGTTCAATCTCTTGGACCCATGTAGTAGATGGAGAAAACTGACTCCCACCAGTTGTCCTCTGACATCCACATGCATGCCCATCTCTTAATTAATTAAAAAAATTCGCCGGGCGGCGGTGGTGGCGCACGCCTTTAATCCCAGCACTCGGGAGGCAGAGGCAGGCGGATCTCTGTGAGTTCGAGGCCAGCCTGGTCTACAGCGCGAGATCCAGGAAAGGCGCAAAGCTACACAGAGAAACTCTGTCTCGAAAAACCAAAAAAAAAAAAAAAAATTCAAAGCCAGCTTAGGATATATGGCCAGAATTTGGTGTGTGTGTGTGTGTGTGTGTGTGTGTGTTTTGGGGGAGTTGATCTATCCAAGACTGGCCTTGAACTCCTTGTTTTCCAGCTTCTACTCCCCAAATATTGGTATCAAAGGTGCACATCACTATGATAAAGGAAAAGAAATATTAGCAAAGAGAAAATGCAGAGGAATGGATTTTCTGGTGGGAAATTCTATGGTAGCTCCAGGGCATCAGTGTGACACCTAGTTTTCAGCCTGGTGAACAGTCATGACCCTGAAAAGAACAATCAGCCCATGTGGGCATAAACACAGACATGTACTTGCACGCACACACAAACATATTTGGGCTCACCAGCTTCATAAATTCAACAAAGTTCTTCCTCATTTCCACTCAACCCCTCTGCTCACAGTTCATTTATTTAAGGCCCAGATCTGAATCCAACTGACTAAATGTCTCAAAATTTGACTATAGCCTAAAAATTAGAAAATCATTGAGCTTTAGAGCTGAATGATGTCCTCAGATGATCTGTTAGCTAGACACCACCTCAGAATAAGCAGCTTGCTGTGTTTCATTTTCAGCAGGGTTAACAGAATCCTCTCCTTTCACACCAGAGTAAAAGGACCAAGTAATACAACATTTTCTGGAGGAAAGAAAGAGGGGCACGAAGGGTTTGGGCCAGGTCATACCATAAACAAAAGACCAGGAAGGTCCTGGAGAAACTGGCCCACATCAGACC